AGAAAAATTATAATATTTTAATATTTAATGGTTATAAAAAGATGAAATAAAGTTTTTTAAATTTGTCATATTAAGATAGGGTTTATTAACCAAAAATGTGTTTTTAATTATTGATGTAAGACTATTAATGATAGAACAGATAAATTTAGCTCATTTAGGGATGCTAATGGTCACGGTCATGACCGTGACCGATATCGGTCGGTCAAAGGCTTCTGACCGACCGGTTGACTGACTGATTCTGACCGATTTTGACCGGTTGACCGACTGACTTGAGAATGAAATAATCATGTTTTAAATAGTAAAAACACTCTGTAATAAATTAAAAAATCAACATTTTATTTTAATTATATATAAATTAAAATTTTGAAATTTTGAAAAAAAAAATTAAAGTTCGCGATAATGCTGCGCCATTAAATAAAAATGACAAGGTAATTTTAAAAAATGCCATGCTAGAATTGTTAAAGCAAGAGTTAAAATTATAAATATTTGACTAAATTAAAACTTCTATTAAGTCAAAACTGCTCAATTATATTATTATTAACCGGTCGGTCAACCGGTCAGTTAAAATCAGTCAATTAACCGGTCGGTCGGTCAAAGGCCTTTGACAGACCGTTGACAGACCGTTGACCGACCACGACCGACCGTTACCATCCTTAAAGCTCATTAAACCATATATTAATTTACATGTTAATTATTAAAACTATAATTTATATAATTGTTAACATTTTTAAGTTAAATTATATATAAATATTTACACCATCTTACTATATTAATACTAATTATTAATAAGAGAGTTTTTATTATAAATTATTTATTTTATAAATAAATATGTTTATATTAATAATCTATTTTTTTTTTAATTTTTTAGATATTTTTAAATTTTTCTATTCATTTTATATATATATTTTATTTCATATTTAATTTTATTATTTAATTATTTTTAATGATCATCACCATGCTAAGATAAGTATTATGATATCTAACTCAGGGGTATTAGATATTTTAATCTTCAAAACAATATTTTTTTGAAGATCGATAAAGAATTTTTCTTTATTTTGAATGATTATTCTCTATGTCAATGTCATTTTTTATCGATTTTATCGATTTAAAATCGATTTTATTAGAACGATCCAACCTCTAAATGCAACAGAAAACAGTTTTATTTTATCGGTAATGCCCCAAAAAATAAACTTGTTAATAGATCCGCAAATTTGCACATTTTTATGAAGGTCGAATATAAGAAAATCATTTTGAATATCACCACAAATGGTTCATACTAAAATTTCCGAATCATACTAAATTTCTAAATGTAATCCAAAATAGGAATTTATAAATTTTTAGAATCAATTTTTGTGAAAGGATTAAAAGAATTGTTGATTTGGAATAAACTATTTTTTTTTTCTTTATAAAAAGGTTTTGATTTCAATTTACTCTTAATTTAAGTAATTAAACACTTTCATAAAGAATACTTACAATATAATACTTTTTGCAAAGAAATAACAATCAATATAATACTTTTTCAAAGAAATAACAATCATGTACAGCAATTTTATTTTAGTATTCATTTTATTGGCTACGCTTTCCATGGTCAATGCAATTCCGCATCAACTTCGAAAGAGAGGTTCTAACTTTGGGGAATGCCCCGTTTATAAAGGGGTAAAACTACCCCTAATTTCCGTAAAATTGAATCCTGATCCAGTCCAAGACGGAAAACCAGAACATTTTGATGTTTCCGGAACTTTAGATGTAGATATTCCGGCATCAGCCATACTTAACGTTTATTATGCAGATCCTAACAAAAAAACAATCATTGGCGATGTCAGTGTTAAACCGATGTGTACTGATAATTGCCCAATTAAAGCTAAAACTGAATTTAAAGTATCTGATGATACTACGACACCAAGCTTAACAGATCCATATGCTATCATAGTTGCTGTTACAGATGATCAAAATGTTCTAGGCTGTGCAGCTCTCTCAACTAATAAATATGCTGAAGAACTTGATGGAAATAATGGACTTGATGGTGTACTTGACCTTATTTTTCAATAATTTATAATTTTATTTATAATTTTATTTTTTTTTTATAATTTCTCATTATTGATTTAAAGCAAAAAAGAGTGTTTTAATTCGTTATTGTTATTTATTTACCTTACTATATTCAATTTATGTAATTCATTAACACTTTAGAATAACTCTATTAAAGTGTCTTATTAGAGTAATGTTCAAAAAAAAAAAAAATCAATAAAAAGTGTCGATGACCACAACTTGTAATAAAACGTGTTTTTACATTTCGCGCCAAGTTTTTTATTTGAACGATCGGTAATTTGATCGGCAAATCTCATATTAGGTTATACCAACCTTATCCTCATTCATTCTCACTTTTATATACTTTTCTCATTGCTCATTTAAATTAAATATTATTATTGTATTAAAAGAAAAGTTATTGAAATAATAAAAAAGAACTTTGAAATTGATGACCATGAATTCAATGAATATTAATCAACGTGAGGAACTCACAAATTCTAAAATAATATATTGATCATGATATCATCATCGTAAAGTCTTACGAACTATAAATCCGGATTAAATTGATCTTCCAGTGTGGAATCCAGATAAAAAGAGGCTTTTTGAGAAGAATCATCCCTTATAAGATTACTCCATAAGGTATTATAATATTCAATATAATTTGATTCGTTTGTGCAAATTAAGTATAACTTGTGATTGGGTAACACAATCCAAAATAATTTTAGAATCAATTTTTTAAAGTATTAAGCACTGATGACAATTTACTTAGAATTCAATGAAATTAATAATTACATTCGCAAAAGAACACTCCTAATTAGAAACCTTGCAAAGAAAATAATCATCTTTTACAGAACAAACCAGAGATATTTATTCCAAACATCTTAAGTTTAATTTTTTTACAAAGTCGACAGGAACCAGGAGAAATTGTTGCAGCGATTGAGGTGGTTATGTAGTTGACACTTTAAGAGAGAGACATGGATCAAAGTGAAACGATGGAATTGTATTGACCAATTGATCAAGCAAGGAAAGCGTAGCTAATAAACTGCATACAAATAAATTTCAGTTTCTGTGTCCAATTAAATCTAATAAACCATTTAATTCAACAGCGAAGATTCTGACACCAAAACCTTACCTGATCCACTAGTCATTGTTTCAGAACCATCAATGCAAATCTAGGTTGACCACGTGCCTTTGTTACTTCTACGCACACCTAATGATGCTGCGTTTACTGTACTTCTTTGTTCGGTTTTAATTTTTTGTTATTTATAAAATTTATTACTATTTGACGTTTTTCAATATATTATTATATATTTATAATAACTCTTAACAAATTATTTATATTAAGATTGTTGATAGTATATTGACGAAGAACGTTCAAAAAAAAATTTGACTAAAATTTATTAATGTCGCTGAAGCCGTTTGGTTACCTTAAGAGGTCAGCTTGTAATGTATCATCCACGTTTTTTAGTCCACAGCGCAGCGAAGGACTATATACTTCTACAAATGTCCGGAGTCGATGCTGATTGTTTTTGCAATATTTTTTTTTTAGTTAAGATCGTTCCGGACTTAACAACGGTGCCCTTTCCCTATTATGGGTAAAAAAAGGTATCGCAATATACGGCTATTAGTGTAACCTGTGTTAGTCGCAAAATCTGCTGCGACTTAAGTGCTGCCTCAACTATATACGTGAAGAAAATCGTAAAGCCGGAAGGTTGGCTAATAATAGAGAACATGAAGATAAAGGTATAGCTTATACTGAAATTTATGTAAGATTAATGTTATCAAAAGTATGAATTTATCGCATTTTGTAAATAACACATTCATCAAATAAATTTTATATTAAATAATGACAACAGCAACAACAATATGAATCACTTTTAAACAAAAGCGGTGTCAAGTGATATAAACCTTCCTTGATTACCACCACTAACGAAGGAATTATTGCATAGTTAATAGGTTGCAAGAAGTTAAATTATTTTTAATAATGTAGCACAAATTTCTAAAAGTAATTGCCGATCGGTCAAAAAAAAAAAAAAATCAGCTCAACGACACTTAATAAATTTTATGGAAATTTTATTTTTGAACGTTTTTTAATTAATTAACTTGCAACTTTATTATTATTTATCGTGTATTAAAGCGTCTTAGAATATTTATAATTAAAGTCGTCTATTTCAGATTAACTAAGTGTTGGTGAATTATATCAAATGAATTTAGTAAGGTAAATAAATAAATAAATTCTATCAGTAACAAATTAAATTACTCTATTT